CTTTCTTCCCGCACCAATTACCGGCCGTACGTCGTGGTGTGAACGAGGCCACCTGGGTTTCGCTGCCAAACACTTCGCAGGTCGGTGGAAACGGGCTTGAACCCCTGAGACCTTGCAACCTTACCTCGACCTCCGCTTCTTTTTGCACTAACGTTTCCTCGCTTCCTGCTGAATGAGTTTCATTTGCGTAATCCGTTGGTCAGCCGAATCCAGGGCATGAAAATCAACTGAATGCTTTTATCAGTTTCGACATCGAGCAGTTTTCATGGTCGATGATAACTCGCGAGGAATCTTTACATAAGAGCAATTAGCTGCTGTTTAATCTTTGACCCTCATTTAAACACCTCATCGAGGTGGAGCGATAAGCCCATGGCGGTTTGAGCAGTCTCAGGGAATGCCGAGCCACTGGGCACCACGAAGGTCATCGGTGGGTTGATCAGTCGTTGTCTTGTGCCCCCGTCGCCGTCGACAACCCATCTCTATCAAAAGCCGATGAGCTAACTCAATGCTCGGAGGAAGTCGTGGCCATCTCATTACGTCCAGTCGAGAATGATCGGTGAATAATGGGTGGACAGCCGGTTTATCAGCGACAATCGCTCGCACCTCAGTGCGCTTGAGTGCTGTCCGTCGAGTGCGACAAATCGGTGACAAACTCGTTTGCTTTTGTGGGCCAACAAGTGGTCATTAAATCATTAAGTCGTTACACCATTAGCCACTTACCACCGTGATTATGTCTGTTAAAGACGTTAATTCAACGTAGATAATTGTCGCCATAAATTCGTAATAAAAATCATATATGGCAAGGCATAAAGTTTATGACGATTTATTTACTTCCAATGGTTGAAAATTTTCCTGGAGAGCTTCCATTTAATTAGCTGTGCTCAGGTTTGCTGAAAACGACTAATGCTACGATTCAGTTTTCTGTCACGTGCGTGGTATCTTCGCTAGATCCGCGGATTAGGGGAAAGTCGTTGGCTGGCACTGTTAAGCAAATTGCTTAAACGCACTCCAATCCATGAACTGCTTTTTTCCGTGGACACCGCAAAAGTCGATCCGGAAGCTGGTGTGCAACGAGGGGGAACAGGTTAGAAGCTGATCTGGTCCAAAAGAAGAATTCGTTCTTCTACCATGCAAAACTGGTGCCTTATAGCAGTAGCTCAAGTAAGCTACGTATGCAGCGGACATCACAAACACCCGTTTTGCTGATTCCAACTGGATATCGTTCTTCGTCGCACTTTCATCATTGATCGCTGTTTATCACCCATTTTTTTCACGCAGTTTATGGTAGGTGGTTAATATCCGTACCTGCGCCATCGGTCAACCGTTCCTTATACTTCAGCACATAGTCTCCTGCTCTCTTTCTACAGAATGATACTCGTTTATCGATCTCTGAAGGAAGAAGGGCGAAAGACTCAGCCAGGGTTCAAACTCCTAGTTTCACGGTTTTGAGTCTAATGCGTTATCGATTCAAATTTCAAATTTCCTTAACTTACACCGATAAGTGTGAGCAATGATCCAGCTGTTTTTCTGTGAAGCGGCAGAAAAAGAAGATTGAGGCGAAAACGTTCTAAAATAATGAGCTGTTGACGTTTGTAGTAAAAATCAGCCAGCCCGTCAAATGTACTGCATGGATTTCAAATTCTCGGCTCTTCTTCAAAGTGGTTGAAGTACCAATTGCCCTGGGTTATTTTTTACAGACCTTAGGACCGAGCGTTTCAGATATGTTCTTGCTGGTTGAGACCATCACTTTTTGAAGCTTATATGACCTGAACTTTCAGGTAGATGAGGTGGGTTGTATTCGCAGCTTTTCAGCACTGACTCTCCGTGAGAGCAGTTCTGACTTCCCTCCGTTCCTCCGTTTTGCATGCTGACCTCTTGATCGACGTCTACCATGTTATAGAGGACATTGGGTCAGTCAGTAAGTTGGGTTTGATGAACGCTTATTTTTTCGGGTCGGTGAGGCAAATGCGTCAAACGGTGTCTCCAAAATTCTTGATCCTGTGCAAGTATGTGAGTTTTGGCAGGAGATAACCCGAGGAAAGACTCCTTCTGTACACTTGTCCCAGATTGTTCTTTGCCTTCTCCGGGTTCTTCTGCTGGTCTTTTAGACAAGTAGTAGTTGTTTCACGTTCTTATTTGAAAATATCATGTTGCGGGCCTTAACCATTGCAGCTGTTTATTTTTCGTCATTCAAAGATTGAGTCATGCTGTTGACAGTTGAACGACTAACCTACTTGTGAAAAATCAAAGAAATCACCAAATTGGATATAACTCTTTATTACTTTACGAAAGAAATTAGCGTGGGGGTTCGACTGCGAAGAATGGCATCAAACACGTAGCATTCAGAAATGAAAAGCGTTAGAGAAAATGATGCTCAGGTGATAGGGCCGAGAAAATATAGTTTTCATGTCTTGGAATGTCCGGTCTCATAGGCGCTTTCCTCTATGGTAGCATTTATCTCTCGAACTTATGATTGACGGTTCATCTTCGTTTCCGTGATCAGTCGGAAATGACCAGCGTGCCTGTAGTTTCGTGTTCTTTCCAATGAGAATGTATCATTTGTCTACTTGAATGAAGGACAAATGACCGAACTCGGTTACGGCTCAAATC